TTATACGCCTACGATACTCACGCACCCTTTGCAGCATTCTGGTTGAGAGCAAAGGTCACCACTCCTTACACCAATTTTCAAAGGACAGGCGCCCCCTTCACTAGGAAATTAAATTAACATCCATAATACTCTACTATCAGCAACATTCACTCCATCTTAGAAATTAAATATTTCCATCAATAAAAAGCCAGACTATCACTCTTGCTCTTTGGTTGAAAGGGCAACCTTTGGTATGGGCATTTATCTGAGTAGATGCGTTTGTAAAATCGAAAGCACAATACTCATCCATTGGGGCCACCGAATCATTCAAACATAATATATATTACCAATTAGAAAACATTTTTTTTTTACTATCACATTAAGCAACCTTGGCGAAGAAGCAATTCTAATTTTTAATACTGCAGGGAAAAAGCTAATAGCAAATACTGGAGATCCTAAAGAAAATTTATTCTAAACGAAATATCTCTTGAGATATATGGTATGGATCTAATTTTAGCTCCATCCTCGGCTATATACCTGATAATATATCCTTTTGATCCACCCCCCTCCCTATTTTTAAATATTTTAGTTTATATAATTTCTAATATATATTATATTCATTTTTTCTTTCGTGTAATTTGATATTTTTTAAGGGTTTTGAATATTTGAAAATTAAAAATCTAATAAAATTTCTCATAGATTATTTAAATACAATTGATGAACTATATGATATTTATATTTATGAAAATTTAATTTAAATATGAAAGAAAGAGTTAATATATTATGAATTAGAAACAAATTAATCATAATAACAAAAAGATAATAATGAGCATAAATTATATAATAATATAAAATACAAAATAAATAAAAACGAAACCAGCACAATTATTTAAAATCCTCTTCTTCTAATCATCGGGTGAGATCGAATTGATAAAACAAACATAATTAGTCTTAGTAATAGCTATTGCGATCCTCTGCCTTAAGCAAAAGCCTTTCCGAGGTTCTCCAGAATTTTTCCTGATTAGGTGGTCAACGTCTTTAAATTTTTTTTAGCCAAATCACCATATGTTTTTAAAGTGGAGCAGATGATTAGTACGAATATGTAATTAGTAGAATCAGAGCTGTATTTAGTGATCTTAAAATTTTGAGCTCTGTTCAGAGCATCCTTATTAAAATTGGAAGGGGAGTTTGTGTCCAAACAATAAAAATCCCATATTAGAAACTTTCCTTTTGACCATGGAATTCGTGTAACTCCATCAGGACTCCTACCATCGGGAAAGAGACCAGAAAGCCCCAATGAGGTAGGAACACCAGCTGACCTAAGTGCAAGAGATATGATTTGATTGCACCTCGAGTGCCGGGTTTGCCGTCCGAGATTACGATTGAAATGTAAAGGATGAACCGCCATATTGTCATCATCAGTAGGGCATTTGCTGCATTTATATGGTAATGATTGAGCCTGTTATATAAAGCATAGCTAAGCCTGTGATTGTCCAATTCAAGTTTAAGTTTATTAGATCGAATAACATCTAAAAATTCATATTCCCGATCCTTGATAAGTTCAAAATGTGGACCTAACCTAAGGTGAAAGACTCGAAATAAGGTAATCAATGAAGTTTTTTATTTTACAGAGATCGGAAATATTGTTGTGGTTATCACGGATTTTGCCCACTCAAAAAGGAATTGTGGACTGACAGATATTGGGCGATTAGTCCACCTACCTGAAGTAGGCTAGCAATGAATGCACATATTGAGATCGACAGTGGGGACCTTATACCAAGTCCGCCATGTTTGGAAGGAATGTGGCTTGATGCCACACAATGTCCATAAACTTAATGTTTAAGCAGTCACTAATAACACTTATTCTGGTTTCGAATCTTCCCAGATGCAATCTCTCTAAAAATAATGGGCTCGATCGTAGGGCGTAAAGCATTTTAGGGTTGTTGAAGAAATTCCTAATTAAAAAAAGCTATGTGCTGAGAGACAGGGGAGAATGCGTTTTAAATTTTTAAATATATCGTCCATATCGCTAAAAAAATAATTCTGACTTTTCACCAATAGGAGAGCCCAAATGCGATAAATTTTTCAAGGGGACTGCTTAAAGCCAAAAACGTTTAATGGAATTGTATTGATTTTACAATATTCGGTTTTGGTTTAGTTGATTTGAAGTCCGAGACTGTCAGTGGGTGCCTTAATAATATTAACACCTTTTTCCACCTCAGCAGAATCGCCGAAGATGACCCCATCATCATATCAAAAATGTAGAGGTAGCGAGCAGCCATTTTTTATTTTCGTGATCAAATCATGGATACCCAGACAAAATAATATGGAGCCAGGGAATCTCCCTGTTGAATACCTTCAGAAGATGTCAAGATACAATGGCCAAATACCAAATGGGATGTTTTTTATAGGATAAAAGGATATGGTTTGTAAAAGCTGGGAAATGTTTTATGAATTGTGAAATGCTTACTTTTCTGTGAATGCTATTGTAAGCATTTCTAAAGTCGATTTTAACAAGGTGTTGAACGATTGTAGCATCCTGAGCATAAATACGAGTTATATGTGCAGCCGCTTAACATCCTCAGCTCGTTTCAACACCTAATTGTAGAAGTATATTGTGCAGTTAGCGATAAGCTTGGAACATAATCTCCTATATACAGCATTAACGGCAATAGGCCTTATATCACCTTCTTTTTTCTCAGGGCGACTTGTTTATCTCCAAAAAAGAGGGGGGTCCTTGCGAAATCTGGGACCTCACCATTAATGACCTTGTTGCATAATTGGGTTATTTCATCCAATAAAGAGGTTTGACTCTATTATAATAATCATCAAAAAACGACAATCAAATTTAACCAATAGTGTTCTTTAAAAAATATTTGTCCAATGATAATCATCACAGCAATTTTAAGCCAATAGTAATTCCCATGTGATTTGTAATATGGCGAATTTCTTCAATCTATTGCTTAGATAGCAATTACAAATTTAATATATAGATGTGATGATTGCACTTTCAGAAATAGTAGATTATATCAGAGTAAATTTTTAATGTTAATAAATAATTTTAAACTATTTTAGAGTTAGAAAATCAAACATTTTAGATTGCACAAGAATATTTTGAGAAACATGGATTTCCATTATTTTAGAGTTAGAAAATCAAACATTTTAGATTGCACAAGAATATTTTGAGAAACAATGATTTCCAAACTGCCTTGGCTCATTAGATGGTAAGCACATAAAAATCAAAAGTCCTGCAAAATCTGCAATTTTTTCAATTAACAAATTTATATATATAGATGTGATGATGTCACTTTCATAAATAGTAGTTTATATCAAAGTAAATTTTTAATATTAATAAATAATTTTTAATTATTTTAGAGTTAGAAAATCAACATTTTATATTTTGAGAAACATGGATTTCCAAACTGCCTTGGTTCATTAGATGGTAAGCACATAAAAATAAATAGTCCTGCAAAATTAGATCTTTTAAATCAATTGATATCTTTTAATTAGGCAATTTTTATGCACAAGTAAATATATCTCTCTTATCTTTTCTGAAAATTTGGCCTTTCTACATGCATTCCATAGTGTTGTATATTTTCTCATATGTTGAGGATGGGAGTAATTAAATCTTGAAGAAATAAAGATTTGATACCTTCAAATCCAAAAGCCGCGTCCTTCTGAAAAGGTCTCACTGATTTAAATATTTCTTCCGAAGTGAAAATCGGAGAAGGGTTCTTGGTTTCATAAATCATTATAGCTTTCAGTGTCTGGGGATACTTGTCTAATAGTCTTTGGTATGACACTTCGCTTACTGGAGCAAGTGTGTCAAAGGAGCTACATAGTCTGAGTGCACCATTTATGTCCAAATTATTTATTTTGTATCTATTAGCATCACCTTGAAATTTAAATCGTCCAGTTTTTTGTTATAGGTGTGAGTTATGATATCAAGGGGTTCATAATTGATATTAGAAGACGCTAGTTCAATATTTGTAGTGAAAGAATTACCATTCACAGCAGGATTTTGGAAAGATTTGCGGCCGAATAAAGGATAGGCTGACCATGCATCCTTAGAGGATAAGTTTTTTAACAGCCTATCAATGCATTGAACATAATTGGTAGAAACAACTTGTCTGGCACCTTCTGGAATTCTGGAAATCAAACAAGGTTTGAGCAGTTCAAATAATTGGTCAATGAAGGAATTGATTCGAGAATGCTTGATGTTGCAATATTATCATTATTTGATGTGAACAGATGGCTGTGTTACAGGATTCAAGAGGGAACTGTGGAGGATTGTTAGGAAAAGAATAGAGGGGGATGAGCCAGAAGTGGGGCATCTTTGTCCATTCACACTATAGGCCCTAAAATGACCATTCCCAAGCATTAAAAGAGTTTCTACATTGAGAACATATACTTTTATCCAACATAATATGCGGGTCTACCATTGGGTATTACAATCTGATGATTATCTATTAATATTTTTATTAAATCATTAGAAAAAAAAACTGATTATCAACTTCCTTGAATGCAAGCATATATTGTTGCATAAGAATCTATAATACTTTCATAAATACTGATTATAAACACAAGAATGACATTTTAAGCTGTTTCATTAAAAATTACTAATATTGTAAATAAATGTTAAGTTATTTCTTTCATATTAATTATATAATGATGATATATAGAATTATATATATTAATATTGTAATCTAGTTGCATAAATGTTAGGTTATTTCTTTCAATAATAATGATCCATAAGAATGACATTTTTATTGCATCTCATCTTCAGGTTTGCATGGTGAAACTAGTTGTTCTATTGTATTCTAAATTCATACATATTTATGATATTATTATTTCTTATTCAACATCTCCATCAATTATAATTGAGATTTCTTTAAAAATATATATTTTTTAAAAGGTCTATCTAATATATCTCCCTTTTTAACTATCTATATCTAATCTATATGTTCGCCTCTCCTTTTTATTTTTCAGCCTAACAATTTTATTAATTTTTATATCCATCCAAAAAAGAAAATCGTTCGGTTGGTCTTTAATTTGAAATTTTATGGCCCACGCATTTTTGATACCCTTATCTGAAGATGCTAAAGGACTTATATTAAACAGTCAAATAGAGGTAAACATCATAATATATATTTTTTTATAAATTTTTTATAGATAACAATCGGTAGGTCATGCACTGCCACATATTCTTTCCCAGTTAAAAATATTTCAAAAAATCATGTTAGCATACTATATAATAATGGCAAATGGGAATTATCGGATTTAGGAGTACTAACTATAAATATATTTATTAATTATTTAAATAATACTTAGTATTGTCTTTATTTATTAATATATAAATATTTAAAAAATTTCAATATTTAATTTTTTTTAAAACCAATATATTAATATTATAAAAGAGCTTAAATGGTAGCTATCTAAATAAAGTGAAAATTGTGCCTTTTGAATCTTATGAATTAAAGGAAAAAGATATTATTTATTTGGCTAAACCCTTCCTTTTCAAGTATATTCAATTATTATTGTTTTATATAGTTTACTTATAATTTTTAAAGATTTACTACTGATCCATTTAAGTTTTCAGCAGCATTAGATAGATCTTTAAATGATTCTTCCTCTGAATTTGACAGTGATGAATATATAAAGAGTCTTAAAACTTTTGAAATAAATGAACAAGATAAATTTATGGCAAAGTCTGGAAAACATTTGCACAATCATGCTGATAACCTCCTGAAAGAAGAATGCTCAGCTGTCAAAAAGATTAAACTAACTAAAGAGACCAAGATATCTGAAAATGATTCGCCATCTGAGAAACATTTTGTAGAAACTGATAGTGAAAATAATGAAGATAAACACATAGCCACAATCATTAAAAAATCCTCAAAAGGTGATAATAAACCTCATCAAATCTTGATACGTTCAGATCAGGCCCATACAATAGCTATTAGTTTGACTGACATCACTGCTGGAAATATAAAACCCAAGTCAGTTTTATTTAAAAAACTTTAATTATTTGAAGTATTTGTGATGCAAAATATATTTAACTTTTTACACATTTTAGCTTATTTGTTAGTTTAGCTGGTCAATTGAAATCAGAAATATTGGCTAAAGATGAGTTGATATCTGTCCTGACAAAAGAATCAAATTTAAGAAAAGTTAGTAATATATGATTAAATTTTTTCTTTTCCAAATTTAATATTAAAAAATGAGATAAATTTTTAATTCGAAATATTCGAAATATATATATATCATAATAGACCTATAGGACTGGAACCTGACCTATCCAACCAAGGCTGTAAGATGGTATGATTTAAAAAATCCAGGTGGCCTTTAGTCAAGCTGATATTTTATCTTTTTTAAAATATCGATTATTACCCGATATTATAAAAGTTTTCCAATCCTATCCAATATTTAACCAAAAATTAATTGCAAATTTCATAATATAATTGTTTATTATTTAAATGAATTAATATTATTAGATAAATAAGTGATTTATTAATAATAATATATTTTATACTTTAAAATTCATGCATATAAACTATAACTGGTAATTATTATATATTTAAATGACTTATGTTAGGGTATAGTTAAATTATAGATGTTGTACTATTAAATAGTATATGAGATGAGTTGATGTATGCATTATAAATTAAAACGATTAGTATGTTTATAGAATACAAAATTCAATATGATATTGGATCAGTAATTGGCCCACATAAATTTAATATTTTAAATAGGTCATCCTCCAAAAAATGGTATCACACCCCCAATAGCTTTAAAAATAATTTTTTCCTGTTATACATCTGACAACCCATATATTACACAATGGGGTAAGCACATTTAAAAAAATCAATTTACCTGTTGAAAAATCTCTAATAACTAATTTCTTAAAAACAGGTTTCCTTGCTGATAAAATTAATGAAAATGGTGTTAGTATATTTATTATTTCTAATTATAATTGGGTAAATACTCTAGTTTTATCTGGCTAAACCAAGTTTTTAGCTAAAAATTATTGCTTTGGTCTCGAAGTTTTTAAAAGTTAGCAGCTCAAATTTGGAAGAAACTAATATTAATTAAAACGCCTTAATGGAAGAAACAAATAAATTATAACGCCTTAAGTTAACTGATTTTCTCTGGAAAGCACCTGAAGATTGAGCCGAATTAGCTAATATTTAGCTCTTACTCAATATTCTTAATTGTTCATTTAGTTAAGGCTGCCATATTATGCCTTGAGAACTTTTATAGATCAGTCAGGGCTTCAGAGTAGCTCACATGCTAAACATCCTCAAATTTACAAATAAATCACCTGAGGAGGCAATTAGAAACCCAATGAATTGGCCATAAAATCTTTTTTGGAACTTCACCTGTGTCTCTTTGCATTCCCGTGATACAAAAATATAAGATAAATAGAATCGAAAATAAAATATATAATTAATTCAACAGCTATATTTTCTAAACATAAGAACAATTTTCACCAGAACAGAATCTATAAAATTTTAAAACTAGGCAAAAAATGAAAACTTTACCAACAAACCAACTTTTGTTCCTTTTACAAAAAATGCAAACAGACATTTTTAAACACAATTTTGCTTCCATTTTGGGAACTCAGTTGCCAAATATGCCATGATTTTTCAAAATTATTTTTATTTTCTTTTTATATATTTTTTTAAATATCCTATTCATATTTCTAATTTCCATAGAATCAATACCTTTTCTAAAACATTTTGTTGTGACTTACATTTTATCACCCTCTCGTATTTGGAGTCGACTTTTATACAGCAAATCCTATCCTATTTGCTGCTTATTTGATTCTATAGAACCGTTTAACACCGACCCGGGTACACGGGCCTTCTTTATTTTATTTTTTTTAAAATATACATCGGCCGGGCTTAAAAATAAATAAAATATATTTTAAAATAAATCTTGGCAGGATCTGAAAAATTTTAATCCGGGCCTGATAATATAAAACCCGGACCTACCGAAATAATTTTTTAAATAAAAATCTGGGCTGGGTCTTGCAAATGGTTCCTGCAGGTTTCTGATATTTATATCTCGAATTGTACCGATGCACGATTCATGCAAAATCGATTTGCATTATGATCTTAAATAGTATTTTTCAGTGTTATTTCTTTTATATTATCTCTCTGTTACAGACATTTAAAATATTTTTCGACCAGTGTCTGAATTGGATTTATAATAAATTCAAAAATATCAATTTCAAAATTAAATTAATTAATTTTGTTATTATTATTAGAGTTCAGTCGCCACTTTTGGTCGAAATTGAATTAGATCCGAAATATTATTTCTAAAGTTGATAGATCATCTAGATCTAATCTTTGTTAACTGATAATTAAAGGTCTTATAAGGCATAATTTGTATTATTTCTCCTAACCTATCTTAAATTTAGACTATATAACAAGCACTATTTATTAAGGAGAATTTTAAAATAATGAGAGTTTACAATGGACTCTAAAATATTGTTAATGGACCCTAAACAATGGAATATCGTTGCGTTCAAAATGAACTACAGTAATGCTAAGGTTCCTGTAATAAAAAAATAAGAATGAGACCTTAAATGCTAATTGTTTAAAACGAAATGTTAAGTATCCAGGGAGCACAATGATATGAGGATTTATGAGTTCAAAGGTGTTTGAATTCTGACCTTTATAAACGGCATAATAAACTCTTTTATGAGATAAGATCAACATCTTCATCCAATAATCCATGCATTATTTCTTGGTTAATTCAGCAAGATAGGGCATCCTTACTGTGAAATCCACTAAAAGAGTTATATAACATTACTTATTAATATTTTGGATGGCCACTATCGACCTCTGATTTAAATCAAAATTTATCAGGATACCATAAGAACAATTTAAAATCTGCCTTATTAGAGTGAAACTAAAGAGATCAATGCAAGATATATTGAATTCTTATACACTGGGATCATGTGAGAATTTCATAAATTATACGCTCTTTAGAATAAATTCTATAATAATAGAGAAAGGGGATGCAATCAAATATTGAATCAAAATGGACGATGAGTTATGAATGAATAAATTAAAATTGATGTAATTTATGAAGTTTTATATTTTATATTTTTTGAATGTAGTCGGTCTAGAATTTAATAAGTGCTCCACTCGACATTTTCAAAATTTTTGAGTTAGAAGTGGATAATAACTTATTTATACCCAATCCAAATATATATAAAAATAAAAACTAGATTAAAAAATATTAATTTTTTCCAAAGTTATAACTCTGTCAAAATTGTTCATCAAGCTTTTCCTATATTTGATTTTAAACTTTAATGTTGATTTTCTCATTTTAAACATTTGCGCAAATGGAGCACTCCAATTCTAGGCCGACGATATGAGAGATAGATAGGTTTAGTACAAGAAAATAAAAAACGATAATAAGACGCGCTTCGTTAAAATTCAGGTTTAAATTAAAAATCAAAGAAATAATTTTTGTAGAAATTAAGATGGGAAAAATTTTAAGAATATTTTTTTGGATTATATTTTTCTTGGTTAGACAAAAAAAGTGCTGTCGGTGTCTCGAACGTACTAAATTATTCTATAAATATATCTCATTATTCTATTAATTTTTAGCAATTTATTATTTTAAATTCTGACCTTGTGCTAAACACCACAGTGTTATTAAACGGCTTGCTTTAACCGATTTTAAATTAAGATTTTGGGGAAAATACTATAACGCAAGCCTCGAGATTTTTTAATAGATGTGTAAAGCAGGCTTACATAATATTTGTTGGGTTAGCCGTTTAACCACTTCATTCGATTAGCACAGAGGATGGAGAGGACTTATTAATATTTCAATTTTTTTTCTTCATAAAACCTAAATAATATCCTTCATTGCAAAAATTGTTATCTTTTTTTATATATTGTTAATATAAGTAGGAGTTAATTATTTGAGTATCTCTGACCTAAATGCAAAGATAAGATATTATAAATTCACACAACCCGTGATTTAATATAAATTTAAATAACCTTAACTCCGGATAAAATTTGAAAAAGATTATGTTGTAAATATCGAAAGGAAGAAAGAAAAGAAAAGATTACCAAGGAAAAAGAATAAAAACTTTGTTGGGTATATGAATGTGATTCTAAAACTAAGCTTAATGTTTAATTAATTAAATAATATGGAATTTTTAAAATTGTTTTCCATATTTTTACAAATCCTAAAAACGCTATTCGTTACTCAAGAAAGTAATGCAATACTATATCTTTTAAAACAAATTAACGATTATGGGCTTTAATTTATTAATAAATACCAAAAAAATTATGAAATAATTCTTATTTTTAAAATAAATGTTTTAAATTAATATTTTGATCGTTGTCATTAAACTTATAAATAAAGTCCTTATTTATTATTTCACAAATGTTCGCAAATTATAATTAACCCAAAATTTGATTAAATTTTTAAGATTATGTTCTGGTTCGTCTTATTTTTAAACAGTAGTCTATTTAGCCGTCACATTATCGCTTCCTCCTAGACAGCCCTAAAATGAAAGAGGCTATTTAGATTTAAGTAGGTAAAGTGTCTTTGTGACTCTTTCCAGGCCAAAATATTTATTTAATATACACACTTAAAAAAAAACAAAATAGAGTGTCCTAGTTCAAATGTTTTAGTCCGGACCAAACAGAAATAAGACAAACTAAGACAAGCTCGTTATTTAGCTTTATTACACATAGATTAAAAGGAGATATAATTATTTAAAAAAATATATAATAGAAATTGATCGAGACAGAAAGATTGGAATACAAAACCAAGATTAATAAAGACTACCAGATAAATCTCACAGCCAAGGAGGTAGAAATCGTCAAGTTATTAGAAGTTCAGGGAGATTTAACCAAAAGCTTGACGGCGATTAAGAACGAGGGAAGTATTATGAAAGAAGAGATGAGTCGGTTGAACGAACAGTTATCCCAATCTTGCGTGGATTTGGGTTTTGAAAAAAAAAATATATATTACAATTTACAAGTTGAGATGTATTTCTATAAATTAAATATAAATATTAGCCAATATTATTATTATTTTTTGAATAATGCTAAATTTTTAATTATTTATTTTGGACCTTAATGGGTATTTATTTTAGCGGGAAGGGATTATATAACTTTATGTCCCAATTCAATGAGCATGCAAAAACGGATTTTTAAGATTTTAAATGTTTCCTGTATATCTATTATAATTTTTAGACCAAAAGCGCAAAGAAATGGAAGAGCTCATGGCCAACAAGATCCAGCTCGAGATAAATTTGTCGCAATGCGAGCATGAGAGGTTGGAATTTCTCAAAAATTTTGAAACCTCGATAAATCCCGATAATGAGGAAATGAGGCGAAAAATTACAAGTTTGATTGAAAACGATTTTCAATGCGTTATTTGTCAAGAAACGCTAATCAAGGTTGGAAAATAAATAAAATTATTTCATCGTTTTCTGGCAAAAAAATCTTTACTTTCCCTAATGGAGACCTTAAATTATTCAGGCACCTTTTCGTTTTTTAAAAGGATTTCTAATTTGTTCAGGACTGACTCGAATTATAATATATCTCTCTACCCCGCTGTAGAATTTATTTTGAGAAGAGGGATTACCTTTTCTTCTGTCTATAAAAATGTCTAAAAAATTAAAATTATAATTTTTTTGATGCTCAAGTCGAGATAACGATATCTAGGATAACTGTGCCTATATTAAAGATAATATTTTGCAAAAAAGATAAATTACAACGCTTTAATTTTTTTTGGTAAATTAAAAATCAAGCCAGACCTAACCATACCCGACGGTCCTATAATCGATTCATTATTCTTGAATATTTTTCTTTAAATATATTATGTTTAGATCTTTGTAAAAATCTCCTTATTCTATATATGAATATACTATTTTTTGCTATAAAATCTTAAAATTAAATAAAAGGCTACTGCCATAAATTGCTCCCATATCTTTTGCTGCTCATGCCTTGACACCTGGCTCCAAACAAAAAGGGAATGCCCAGTATGTCGGGAAGGATACTATAGCAAATGCAGGGTCCTGGCTTTAGATAATTATTTGGACAATCTTGGTGACAAGATGCTTAGTAAAGAATGGAACGAAAAAAGGAAGGAGCTTAAAAAATCGCGGGAGGATAAATTAAAGGGCAAAAATTTAGCCGCGACTACTTCCAGAAACCGAAATAGTTTGCTATTTAAAAAAATATAATATTTATGATTCTATTACGTAAAATAAAACTGCTAAACAAATGAAAAGAAATATTATTTAAAACATGAGTCTTTTCGAATCAATGCAATTAATGATATTAAATCTAATATTTTAAAATATGCCCTTTACTGAAGATTGTGATACCAGAAAGCATTCATATTATATAATTGTTTTTAAAAAAAGTTTGAATTATAGAGTCGAACCGTTATATGTAACGATTCAAATCAAACACAGTTTATTTTATTTTCGGTTATTTTTGTAAGCTTATAATCGTTTTTTTCAGTTAAAAAATTCATAAAGGTCGGTTCGTCATCTTTTTATAAGTAAATACTTATTTTTTTTTAAACGCAACATATTTTTTATTTTTTTAATTGACCCATAATTATTTAAATTATTTTTAAACTTTTAAAAATAAAAACCAAACAAAAAAGGAAGATAAAAACAAGTTGAGAATTTCTATATTTTACTTTAAAAAACCTGAATAAGAAATAACAAAGTGGAAACATAACCACATCTATGTACCATTTATTTTATAAATATGATTTTTTAAATCAGCATTACAAATACTAAGACGATATCGGTTAAAATTTAAAGTAACGGCCGATGCTGTGAATATCGGTACATCTTTATAAATATCAGAGATTTTTTTCGACCCATCCGAGGTTTTGTATTTTCCTGCCCCGCCCGATTTATAGCTAAAAATGATGATTTAAAATATTTGGTTTTAATATACAGTCCGACCCAGGTATTTAAAAAAATAAAATCTGGCCTATGTACCCAGGCTGGGCCTGCGGGTCTCTGATAAATATAAAAGGAAAATAATAATAATTATTCAAATTTTTTTATTGAAAAAAATACGTTGAGCTGTTTATGTTAATATAAATCTATTCTCATATATAGCACAGGAAGACCCCCCCCCCCCTTGGGTAGTACGAGAAATCGTTACAACTATCATTTTTGAATATAATAAGGTGTCAAATTGACCTAAAAAATAATTTTTTCGGACGTCCATCTCTAAAATTAACGAAGCATGATAGTTATCTGTGCTGTATATTTTAGTAAATCAAAATTTCAGAACGCTAGCTTAACCAGATCCAAAGATATACTCCTTCAATGTCAAAAATCCATTAAATCTTGTTTTTTTTTAAATACTTAAGATAGAGTTACAAATTATATATCAATTTATAGCCCTTAGAATTTTACATTGCAAAATATTTCAAGTGTTTCTTATTTCCGATATAAACTAAAAAAAATTAACAATGTTGAGAAGGGATTTTTTGGGTGTTGATGCTAGGAATGTTTATTACCTTTATATTTAACTGTTTTATCAAAGAAGCGTTTTTATCTTTATTTAAATTTTTATAAATAATAAAATATAAATAGATATCCTTATATTTAAAATCATTATATATTTAATATAAATATGTATTAGTATTAAAATAAAAAATTATCATTAAGTATGACAAATATGATGTCTGGGGCGATATGTAACAGCCCATAATACAAACTATTATTTAAAAAATCTCTTATCGTTATCATATTCCATTTTGCGCCTATTAATAGAATTTTATGAGACAATAATTTGTAGGTATACCCTATTTCTGTTATGGATCTACTATCCTTATTTGATGTCACTTGTAGGTAAGGAAAAAAGGATGTGATGGTCCATGGGGATGTAAAAAAAAGAAATATATATCTCACAGTAATTTCTCTCTTTTTTTTTGTACTGTGACTCTAACTAACCACCAAAAATGTCATAAACACTTGTTTAGAAAAAAGATCTGGCCAAACCATGGTTGTAAATAAAATTAACTGATCACGTGTATTTTTGACGATTATATGTGGTTAGCCAAAGTAATAAAAATGAATAAAATTTTCGAGGAGATATATATTTCTTTTTTACATTCGCATGAACCATCTACTTCTTTTACCCCACAATTGATGAAATCAGATAAGCAGTCGGTCATTAATCAAATAATAACGATAGGATCCCATAACAGCGACAGATAAAAATTATCGCCTCGGGTAATTCTATTAATAAGCACCAAATGAAGCAAGAGGTATTTATTATAATAGTTTGTATATAAAATTTTAAAATATGATATAGTGTTCTAATATCGATCTAAAATTTTTTGTTATGATTTACAACATAAATAATAACATGTTTCATTCATTTTTGAGATGATCGTCCGAAAATTTTATCCAGATTTAACGATTTTAAAAATTATAAACCTATATATGATGGATTCATCAATGAGATAAAATAACTAAAATTCTACAGAGATCTTTTTTGAAGTAACCATTAACTTTAAATTAATTTTTTTAGACATCTAGAATCAATTTTTAAAATTTTAAAAAGGATTTTTTATTTATAAACACAAATATCCAGGTACTCGCCAACCCCAACCTAATAATTCAGGCAATGGATCTTTCCTCTCCACTTACCTGGATTTTTTGACTAATACTTACAACAGTAGCAGCGTAATTCCCACGCACTCTTCCACTACCACTGGGTTCGACAATGATGAAATTCCAGATTGGATGCTTTTACAAAATTCAGGCACAAGGAATAATAGGAGACGCCAAAACAGTGTGCTTAATGATATCTACGGGATCTTTAATCAAATTAACAGACCTTCCCGAAGAGCTAGAAGACGCGTTTATTTTATTTATACTCTAATTTAATCCTTTTTATTTTTTTTAACTTAACCATACTAAAGAGAATTGAAAAATGAAACCCAAAATTATTTTGAAATAAAATTGTGATTTTTTTTTCGGTTTCCGAACCCTTAATTAAACGTTTTTAATCGGTATTTACAATTAATTACTTATTTCCAGGGTGAACCCGAACCCTGTTATTTAACTGAACCAGATCCACGAACTTTTAAAAAAAAATTTGACCAGTATTAAAAGTTATATATTGAAAAAATAACGTAAAATATTTAATCTTGTTAAACGGCTCGTTTTGAGCCATTTAAAAAAATCCAAACTAAATAATTTGGCCAGAAAAATATAGCCCAAGTCTTGAGATTTCGCTAATAAATGTCTAGACCTTTGTGCCATCTATGAGCGAATTGGGCAGGCTGCGTAATATTTTTCTCTATAAAATATTGAGTTAGCCGTTTTAAAAAATCGGCTGAGCCGTTTAATAACACTAAAAATATATTAAATATTTAAAACATAATTGTTAACTACTTATTATACGCCGAACGAATTGTTATTTTCAATATTAAAAACATTTTTCGTAAAATTGTTTTTTATATTGTAGCCATTTTATTTAAATTTAAAAATTTTTATGGACGCCAAATGCTTCAGAGAGGTTTCACTGAACCCGAACCGGAACTCTTGGAGGGTTCGCAATAGTGATCTGGAATGAGGCTAATTTTTCAAGCCCGACCCGGCCCTAATTTTTTTAAAAAAAGTTTTGCAGGCTCGGCTTGAACCCGAATATTTTTTAAAAAGTTATGCCAGCCCGAACCCGAAATTTTTTTTATAAAAATTTACAGGCCCGGCCAGAATTTATTTAAATATAGAAATTAATTTTTATAATTAGTCAAAATAAAAGACATTGTTATATGGCTTTTAATTTCAATAGATAAAATCAAAATTTCTTATTTTACATAAAAAATTCAATATAAAATTGATAAATTTAGATATATTTAGAAAAATTTCCAAGGCTGACACGAACCTCCTCAAATTTTTAAAAAATATTGGGCCTGGCCCAAACCCGATTATTAATTAGAATTAGGCCCAAGTCCGGCCCGAAGCCCATTCGGGCTGCACCTAACTTTGCAGATCTCTAGTTCACAGCCCTGGTTATTTTTTATTTCCCAATATAAGTAGATTTTTAAAAAAATTTAAAATTAACATTTTTATTTTAGTATGATGCGTAAGTTGTTTTACCCCCCCCCCCCCCCAATAAATTATATTTTCCAAGTTCATTGCCATAACCCTTATTATTAAAATCAATTACATTTCCCTCTCTTTCATTTTAAAATGATTTGTTATCAATTTTTTAAAATTTATTTCGCTCTTAAAAATAGTCGATAAGACGAGGTAGTATTATTAACCCTAATCCGAATGTAGCTTCAACATCAGCTGCTTCTGTCAGAAATAGAGGCTCACGTAACAACCGAGGAGGTTTTTTAAAAAATATTATTATAATGAATTCATTCTTTTTAAGAAATTTTGGTAATGCAATTGATGTTTGCCAGTTATAAAAGATCATCATAAATTGTTTAAAACTGATATAATGTAAAATAAATCCTTCCCCATTTTCTAAAAATATTAATACTTACCCAAAATCTTCAACCTGAGTTAGCCATTTTGGCTCAAATCGAGCTATTTGAAATTACTACCAATTTCTATATTTTTTAAAAAAATCGAATTAGTTATAATATACCCAATTTAAAAATATTTTACATAAAATATTTGTTGGACAATGAGGAAACCTTCGGCCAAGTAATAATTGGCTAATTTCACTTTAAAAAAGTTGTCCTCTTAGCATTCAATGCAAAATCAATTTTTATCCAGTTCATTCATATTTTTATTTTGAGAGCACATAATTATTTTTTAATTATAAGCTAAAAAATACTTCTGAAGTAGAAATTTAGTTTTTATTATTCAATGTCCAAGTACTCACCTACCCTCTCCCTCCCCGCACATTTAAATTATCCTTCATTTTAACACAAATTTGTTTATTTTTTAACATCAAGTTGCAAGATCCGGCCTTAGATCTTCGACCAATTTAGCAACTACTCCCGCGGAAATAAACTCTATTACGAATATACCCAGGCCCACTAATCCGCCAAGAAGAGATTTACAAGAAATATTGATAGACGACATAGACAACGATAGCGACATCATCGTTAGAAGGAGAAGGAATTTGAGGAGCATTCCAGATAATGGTGATGTCAGAAATAGTATATGGATTAACAGTGATATAGAAGGTTTTTTAAATTTTATTTTTAATCCGAAAAATAAAATATGAATATTTTACCTGAAAGTATATTTATTTAAGTTATAAGGTCTAAAATTTATGAAATTATAATCCTTTGATTCTTTGAATTTATAAAATTGGTTTTTATAGACAAAAAAATTAATAAAGATCAATTTTACTGTAACACTCTTTATTCACGTGTGAATGGAACGATTATTAATGATTGGTAAGAGGTGATATTCTTCTTTCTATACAATTTATAATGCTTTTGCAATGATTCAAGCAGTATTTTCACGATTTGTACTGTATTCATATTGTTCCTAAATGACTCCTATTTTTGGGGATAACTTTCTAACTTGATTATCAAGGTCAATTTAGTGCATCCAAGTCATTATATTATCGATAATTATTAATTTTATCATTTATAACAAATTAAATTTATTTAAAAAAAGGTTTTATATTTTTATTTATTAATTTATACTTAGGGTTTGAAATATGAATTTCAGTATAAAATTTATAAAAAGGCAGGTAATATTATAAGATGTTTTAATATGGTGTACATAAACTGAAAATTAACAAATATACTCCACTATTTCATATTAATAAAATATTTATACAATAAAATTTCGATAAATTTTTTAAAATTATACATTATTGCTATCTAAAAACAAGTTTTCAAATTATTTGAATTTTTTAATGGGCCTCCTTCTGGCAAACTTTTTTATATTGATTCTCAGTAGATTTCGGCAACTCAAAAATTGAAATTTTGGTGTTATTTACAAACAATTTTATTGAAAGAATTTTTCAATCTAAAAGATTTTTTACCATTTGATGAACGTTTCTCATTACCCAATAACTTCAGTTAGTTATCACTGATATAATAAATTTTACAATGATGTGATACCTTTTTTTGAAATATCATTAGAAATTGATATAAACGATGTATCAACTCAAAGCGATTCGTCCGAAGATATGGATATCCCGTTATTCCCTATGCGTAGTGGTTTCTCGGATATCGATTCCCAGAATTCATTGTTCAGTGCTGAAGAAATAAATCTAGACGACTATTCATTTCATCCCACACCTCGTCCTAACGTCAACGCCAGGATCCGCACCAGGAATAATTCATCAAGGAGTAGGGGAAATATAGGTACCAGGAGCACAATTAGTAGATCAAGGAATAATATGCCAGCAAATGGTGTTGCATCTAGAAGACGAGGCAATAACAGTAATAGGAGAGGACAAAGGAATTAAAGTGAATGTCAATGTTTAATTTTTTATACGTTGCTGAGATTGAGATGTTTGAAGCTTATTTTAATTGATTTTTTTTATTCATTTTTTTTAAATTCCTCAATAGGTTAAAATTTAACGTAATAACAACTCAACAATGGGAAACCCGTAACTCAACAATATGAACGACTAGAATGCTCCTGATATTATATATTCAATATATTACATGAAAGACATTTATAAATATTTAATTTGAATTAAAATAAATAAATATTATGCTTATTTTATCAATTGAGCAAAAAAGGTGTATATGAGATCAGAATAATTTCAAGTTAGGTCTGTCATAAATAAATATAGGATCTGTTCAGGCATAAAATCTGCGTTGAACATTTTTTATACAAATTTATCGAACATGTTAGATTTTAGAGGAACGATGCATGATTTAAAAATTTGGTAAACGTTCCAAACATTAAGGAAGCTATAAAAACTGCTAAAATAACTTTAAAAAAAATATTTATGCAGAATTTGGAACCAAAATATATAACTCCAAGCTCGAATGAGGGTTAGAGAAATTAACCCAACCTTGAGCAGAAATTGACCCGAGCACGAGTCTAGTAAAATCAATCCATACCCAAGAATTGAGCACACCCGAGAACCCCCAATATGTAAACCCATAATTCTGGGCTCGGTTTAGTATAGTAAAAAGTAAATAGTATTGCTTGGATTTGCTTAACGGGTCTAATGTCACTCGATTTTCGACTTGTTCTTAGGTCTGGTGTTCGATTTTTACGACTTGACTATTCATGTTCGGGTCTGGGTCAATTTTACGATTCAAAACTCTTGGTTGCTTCTAAATGGACTTTTCTGATCATTTTAACATTAATCATTTATATAATTTTATTTTTGAAGTCAGCATACCTATTTTAATAACTGCCGAAGCTCGAAACGTTCTGAAAAATATAATATGATCAAAAAGGAACAGAACTTTAAATGAACTGTGGATCAAAAAATAAATGACTTTAAGATTATCTTGAGTAAATTAGATCTATAGAAAGAATTAATTTGACAGATGAATAATATGTCGTTTTATATGCATAAAATCATGAGGTTTAACCCTATTCATTTACTTTTATAAGTTCAGATTTGAACCACAAATTTTTTAAAAAGTTTTCTTATTTGACTAAGTTTTAGATAAGGATTTCTGATTATGAATTGTAAATTAGATATATATAGGAATAGGATACGTAATATTCCACTGGCAAAGAATTTGCCTCACTACTAACTTTTAATAAAAAAAATGCTTACATAGAAATTACAAAGAAAAATTAAATATCGAAAATCTATTTATGATTTATAACCTTAAAAACATTTGAAACTTTCAAAACTAATAAAAAATATAACATATTATACTGCATTATTTTTCTTACATTCATTACTATGCACAATTGATTATTCATATAGTTAAGAGATGATGGCTATTATATGGAGTCGAGTTTAAATCGATAATTTAGATCTAGCTCAAATGGATCTAGAGTAAAGTTCATTACAAATGCGATTTCGGTTTTAAAAACCTTAAATTTTTATTGCCCGCCCTTAAAAATTTTCTTTAAACAAATTATTCAGTGTTGATTTATCTCTAGTTATTTGGACGATGAACTCACCAGATATGCTTATTAGTTATTACCAATATTTAAAAAAAATATAAGTATTTCGCTTTTTTTTATAATTTACGAATAAAAAAAATATTAAACAAAGTCCCCAGTAAGAAAATGTTTGCACCTATAATAAATAAAATTTGATATGCAAAATATAAGCAAATTTGTTTGAATGCATATTTCAAAAATAATCAATGCTCTTGTCATACGGAATCAACTTCTTGCAACAATAGAATTATTTTAAATGTAATAATTGTTTAAAATATTTAATTCAAGTTCCTTCCAAATTTCTAAATAAAATTATCTTTGACTAAGTCTAGTTATTTACAATTTTAAGCTCAGTTCGATTTTTTAAAGCTTTGATCATTTTATAATTATTTGAAAGAGAAATTAATTTAATCTCTTTTTTTGGCTTTGTAAAAAATAATTTGATTTTAAAATTATATATTTTATTTTAACTATAATATTTTTTGCCGACCTGAATCTTTAATTAAGTCACGAAAAGGGAGATTTATTACATCCCATTTGAATGGTCTCAGACCTGACGGTTTAACCTGCACCCCATGGTCCAATGGGAAATCCCTAATTTGGGACGCAACCTGCGTCTCTTCCTTTTCCTCATCAATTAATTCAAACCCTCTTACTAGCGGGGAAAATAAAAAAATTAATAAATACTCAATACTAAATAACTTTATTTTTCAACCCATAGTCATTTCAACTAATGGCAATTTCTCACAATCAACATATTTCTTTTAAAAAAATTTAGCACGTAATTTTTAACATTACAAACGAAAAACGCGAATCAATTTTTCTTAAACAAAAGCTCCAATTAGAAAATTTTAAACACAATTATAACTGTTTTTTAGGAACATTTTTACTATAAGCTCTTTTTAGAGCCATCGATATTTTTAAAATATACATTCACTTTTAATATATATTCATTTTTTATTTTTATATTTTGTTTATATGTTTTAAAGATCATAAATGAATAATAATTAATTTGGACATTTAAAAAAAAAATTTGTAAAGAATGTTCAATTGAAGGAAATATTTTAATTGGATGAGATATATTTAAAATTAAACAACTATTTGAAGTAAGGAGTAGGATTAAAGGTTTGAAGGATATGGTTTAGTTATTTAAATATTTGAGAGATATGAGTTAGAGTCACGATAAATTATTTTTTAATATAATTTTAAGAAAAATATAAGAACATTTTTAAAAATACCATATCTATAATTATATTTTGCAACAAAATTTAAACATTTTTATTTTATTAGTGCTAAAAGGCCTAGAGCAATAATTTACCTCTTTTTTGGGGATTAAACAATTTGGTATTGGCAAGGAAATGAACCAAGAATAAATTCAAAAAAATAAGGAATTCGATTAATGAATTAATTTTTACTTATGTATACGTGAAATTTAAAAAATAATAATTAAGGCTCAAATGTGGACAGCAAAATTCTACAAAGATCATAAGGTTTCGACATCTCAAATTGAAGTTCTGATACTGTAATATTTATTTTAAAGAAGATACATCATTTTTTAAAAAATAATAGTTGTTTGATATATTTCTTGCCTTGCATAGAAAAAAAACTTTAATTTAAGTTTGGGTTTTTTTCCTTAAAAATTAATAATTGCATATAATTTCTTTCTTGCACATAGAAAAATAAGGTAATCAATAAAACATTTTGAATGTATGGTTTAATAAAATTTTGAAAACGATGATTTTTTTTCCAGTTCTAAATATCGTTTCTGATTTTAATAGCATAAATTTTGATAAGGATTTCAAGATTTTTTCTATATAAGTAGAGGTTTTAATATCATTATTTAATATATTCAGAGACCTGCAGAGGTTCCATATTTTAGAGAGATTTTTCCTGACCCGCGTTACATATGCTCAGCCCCTGCTAGGATTTTTTCAAAATATATTTTATTAATTTTTATAGCGAATAATGGCGATTTAAAATATACGGATCAGCTCGGCCCGATTATTTTATCAAACAAATATTTTGGGCCGGACCTGGGTATTTAAAATTTTTTTTAACCTGGCCCAGGTATATCTAAAAAAATTAAAATACGGGTAAGGGATTTTTTTAATACAACAATTGATTTATTTCAAAATAATGAGTAATTTACTTACTAATATTGTAATTTGTCTTTTATAATTCATAATTATGGTCAGCAAAGGGAGGGTTTTTAGCCGTTCGGGCGCGCGTGGTCGGGTTTTTTAAAATATTTTCAACTATGGGCCAGTGGTGGGTGGATTAAAAAATCTTTTTCAAGAAATGGGCGAGTGAATTTTTAATATTTTTTAAGCAAAATGAGCAGAATAGATTTCAATTTATAGTTTTATTTCATAATATTGCATATTATACATGTAAAAATATATTAAAATGAATAAAGAGCCAAACCAGCCATTAAAATAATTTTTAAACATTAGGCGAGCGGGTTAAACAGAATTTATAGATAAATGGGCGGGTTAAAAAATTCAAAACAACGAGTGGGCGGAATTTTTTGCTAAAATCCGCGCATTGTAGACCTTTAATTCATACTTTAATAAAACTAAATTCAAATTTTATTATGCAAATCAATTTTTTTTTTCATTGCTATAAAATAAAAACATTGAAAAAAACAAATTATAATTTAAAAATCATTTGTAAAAAATAATAATAATAGTAGTCATGATTTTGCGTGTTTAAATTTTACAATTTGAAAAAAAAATTAAAATAAAGTAATTTATATGTATGTTTATTGAGCAAAAAAATTTTTTTTCTCTAAATGAATTAAGTTATGTCTATAAATTTTTTCAAAAAAAGGTAAAATGTCTAGGTCATTGATAATGCTTTTAAAAAAATTATATTAGTAGTCTAAATTAACATCTATTACCCTTATTAAAATTTTTAAAATAGCAATACAAAATCATATTGAATATTTTTAGATGTATTGTCTGATTATATTAAGTTCTACAATTTATTATTTAAAACCTAAAATGGTCAATCAAAAGAAATCATAAATATAATATATAAGGTCATATACTATGTATATATAAATTTTGATAATCGAGCGTATTTAAAAAAATGAAAATAAGTATTCTCAGTTTTGGCAGGGTTTAAATCATTATTATCATAAATTAATATATTATTTTGTTCACAATGAATGTCATGCATCGCGTTAAATTAAACGAAGGGAAACAGTGCTTTAAAATATTGCCTTGTAACGTCAAATTCTACTTTTCATGGACATATAACCAGGATTAAATGGTATCTTTTCGGGACTAAACATGCGCTCTTTGGCTAAAACTATACGTGGGTGCAACATAAAATCATTGTTATTATCCATAATATTACTGGGAAAATTGAAGCTTCTTTTAAGATTATCAGTGGATGCCATGAGGTTGATATGAGGAGTGAGATCTAAGGGACACACGGATTGAGGTTTGTTTACGATTTTAAATTTTAGGTCATTGTTCTGTAAAGTTTCTTCTTTATATCCACACGCAATACTTAGTTTAGATATATCATTTGTCAAATCAATTTCACAATTTCTATTATTTTCGTTATTGTTATTGGTATTTAGTAAAGAGTATTCGTTTGATAATTGGGTAGATGTTTTGTCACTCTTATCAGAGATAAGAACTTCTTCATCCAATGATCGATATAACGGAGAAGGATTAGTTAGAGAAGAATTGAGAACAGAATTTAACTTGCCTATAGAAGCGAGTATAAAACCGTAATACACGGGGCTTGGTTTAAGTGGTCGGGTCTTATATTCGGGATGGAATTGTGTTCCGACAAAGAATGGGTGCCCTATAAAAAAATGAAAAGTGTTGTTAAATAACCAACTTTTAACCAAAAAATCATTTTTAGATTGAGCCTCGATTTAAAGATTGTGTTGAATTTTTTGGGATAAAAATTTAGTTAATAGGCCGTTCTGGAGTTTGCCAAAATTAGTTGATCTAACAACACTAATAATGAGGCAACTTAAAGGCGATGATCATAGTGGTAGTGACAAGTGTTTTTTAAATGCTCGATTTTAAAAAATGGCGAAACCAGCCTGAAAATTTTACTCACAGGATGCAGAAATGTTCGGACATCTATTCACGAGATCTCGAGTAATATTATTTTGGCTAAAATCTCACTTAAATATTAGTTATGTCGAGTTGTTAAACAACATTAGAAGTGTCTTGTTAGAATAATGTTATCATGATAATTTGTAAATCGATTCATATAATCATACAATATTGATTTTAAACTAATATCTGGTGTGGGAAATTTGGAGTATAAGAATACGGATTCATTATTTTCATTTATGGATTCATGGCAATATTTTGTATCAAGTAAAATTTTAAAAATATGATTTCATTGTGAAAAATTCATTGTAAACCCATTTGCTTTATATGTATTAGAAACCTGTAAAGTTGGAATTTTTAGCCCCAGCCCGCATTTTTCTCATGTTCAAGCCCAGTCCCGATTTTTATTTTTATGAACGGCCTAAATTTTTAAAACTTTGATCATTTTACGACAATTTAAAATAGTTTTAGCTATATTTTGCACCAAAGATTTTTAAAAGCAAATAGAAAAAAAATAAGAGGTGAATAAATGTCAAAATGATTTATCATAAATTTTCATAATTTAGTTTTAAAAAATACGGCCTGGTCTGGGTTTACAATTTTTAAGTCATAATTCGATCATTCACTGCATGTCTGATAATATATTTTCAAAAACATATTTTATTTTTGGTTTGTTTAATTCATTTTATAGACATTTGTTCTACTTCTTTTAAAAACATTTTTTTACCATAATTTTATCAAAAATTGGATGGGTTGATATTGGTGAAATACCGTGCAAAATCAAATATTGATATAATCGGATGGGCCTCTAAAAAACGGTATCAGTATACCTCTAATCGATAATAACTTATATGATCATTTATAAATAAGTTAATTTAGGGTTTTGAGAATTTAACATATCTGTTTACCCTCTAATTCGATTATTTCCATGCGTTCACCAGTTTCATCTTCTCCTATAAAATGCAGTCCGATCTTCTCAAAAATATGTCTGTATTCCGTATTAAACTGTGATCATGAAAAGTTTTAATAAAATATATTTGAAGAAATAAAATCGGCCATCCAATTTTTTTAAAAATATATAATAAATTATTTTTCCCCTGGGAATTTAAATATCTTTTTTAAATTTAGATTTTTCATCTAATTTCTATAATAGGGAATAGCGATGATTGTAAAATGAGTCATAAATAAACCTGAAACCAACGTTAAATGAATGAATGTAAATTATAGTGCCCACAAATTGAATGTTCCAACGCAGCGTTTTAAAACGCAAATAAAAAAACGTAAACACAGCTAAGTTTAAATTGAATCGTTAATAATTTTTTTAATATAAAACGTCTAAATTTAAAACAAAAAAAATGGTGTTCAATTTAAACGAATGCATTTAAAATGCATTATTTGTGTTTTGAAACGCGTTGAAACGTTCAATTTGTGTACACTATTAGTTTTTTAAAAAAAATTTATGTTAATTAAACCTAACTAATATAATTGAAAATGATTTTTTTAAAAAATACTAATGAATGTAAACTTCGTATCTATGCCTATGCCTTTCCTCGACACTCTCAACGTCCCCGTATAATTTTTTGACCACTGAAACATAATGGATCTTTTCCGATCCTAAACTGTTTTCTTTACAACTAAACGTATTTTTAAAAATAGTCGTGCGTACGCCCAATCTCATAGTTCCGCCTTTAAATCGCGGGTTGTACTCGGGCATTTCTTTGATGATGATTATAGGAGTCTTATCTTTATTTAAAGTTGGGGAATTTGTGGGATTAAATTTGTTATTATGATGTTCTTCGGCGTCGTTGGGAATGGGCGAATGTATGAATTCGGATGAATTCGCTCCTTCAAGGTTTAGGACATCTCGAGCTATCTCTACCAAAGCTAATTGCATGCCCAAGCAGATGCCTTGGATATAAGAAATAGTGGTTTCATTTTTTTGAAAAAATTATAGGTGTTTAAAAAAAATCGTCTATTAATAAAGAAAAATCATAATTTTGAAATATCCAAATATAGTAACTTGGAATCATGTAGAATTTAAAAACAACAAAATCTAAGATAGATGGTAGAAATGTTATAGAATAAAGCTAATAAACTTACGCCAATTATTTTATTTATTTACCTAAAAATGGTTTTTTATTGATACGGGCCCATCTGATAGCCAATATTTTACCTGTGATACCACGATCTCCAAATCCACCTGGGACGATTAATCCTCTTTAAAAAGATTGATTAAAATAATGATTAGCATTAAATTTATTAAAATGTTGTTTTTTTGTTAACAACATGCTAATATTTAACTATTTGGTATTGTTATCTACATTACACTTTTCTTATCGATTCGCACTTAAATAAGTCAGCTCTTGGCTAAGTCGTTTTGGAGTAAGCTAGAGTGGATTGATCTATATAAATATTTATTGTTATATACATTTCATCTTTCTTAATTAACGGATACTTCAAAATATTTCTAGGGTTGATAAATTGATCCCTTTTAGCCTATTCCAAAACGACTCAGCCGAGTTTCCACTGACTCATCACCTAAGTGTGAATCGATACTTTTATTAGGTGAATATTCTCCTAGCAAATTAAATCAATTATAAAATTGTTTACTTAAATCAACTCTAAAGTGATAAAAAAAAATATGGAAGCTTCATTTTGATTTTAAAAATTCCTAACAGATCTAAATCCTCAATTATTACTGGCTATCTTTTAGGACACTCCAAGCCTTGTTATATTCTTCAAGATTTTCCAGTTTAAATTCATCTTCCAATTTTATGGATTCTATAAACTTCGAATATTTTTTTTTATAAAGTAAAAATTTGTAAATATTTAGATTGTAGGTAATCATTTCGGTTCCTTATTTTCCTAAATGATCAATAACGCGTGCACAACGCGAAAATAAAAATAATCATATAAGGCCAACTAATCTAAAATACTACATTTTTATTGGATCCCCTAAATCTTGATGTGGACTACGGTTAATCTATGAGATGTTTAGATCAATTGACTGTGAACCAAAATAAATGTCTTACTTAAAAAATTAATGAAGCTATAGATTAATATAAAATCTTAAAAATTTTAAGAATTTCCTATGAATGCAAAAAAATTTACTTTTATTTTAATTTTATGATTTGCTGTGATAGAAGCATGTTGTAGTGCTTTGACAACTGACGTGTAAGAATCTTCAAACTGTGTATATTTACCCACAAGAGCTATCACTACCTCTTCTTTGACACTATCAAATCTAAACAAAACAAATATAATAAATATGCCTACATCTTCTATATTAATGTTTGTGTAGCATAGAATGCATTTATTTCAATCAATAATAATTTGAATAATGATAAATTCATCTTAAAACCCCAGAGTTGTTAAAGTAACGCGCTACGCTATCTTTTTTGGTAGCTATAGCTAATAGCGAGCTACTTTTTTCCGATTATTTATTTTTTTTATCGCGCTACTTAGCTACTTTTTAAAAATAAATGAATGTTACTATAAACATGAAAATTTAAATATAATAACATAATTAATTATAATTTATTGTTTAATTTTGAAATTTTTATTTTCAATTTGTATTATAAATCTAAATCATCTGGTGTAAATTATTTAAAATGTCATGGCAAATGGATATCCAAATCGATGTGAGTCAGAGAATTATTATTAATTAAATGGAAGGTACCTGGAAGAAAATGTTCTTGATAACAATAATACAAATTTTCCATTTCCAAAATTTGAAAATATTTTCAAATTAATGTAAAACAAAAGGTGGTTACAAATTTATTTGCAAACTGTAAAAAAAATATATCCTCAAATAAATCTAGTAGCTATAACCTCAAAAAAAAACCTAAAGGTATCATTTTTAAATTCTAATACTATTTTATTTTGTAAGAATGTTCATGCCAACAGTTTTAAATAGATAGAAAAACATCCTAATAATTCTGGTATAGGGGAGACTACATTCAAAAATACCAATTCAATTTGAGCTAAAATAATTAATAATATTGCATATACCAATATTTGTCAGAAACTAGCTGATAAAGTTATTGTCGATTTTATAAGATACAGTTCAACCAATGTCATTGGTTGATAATCCATCATTTACCATGATGATTAAAACTCTAACCTATGGTACAACAATTCTTTTGTCGTTGAATACTAATGATTGAGATAACAAACAAAGATACTGTTAGAACCAAAACGAATATTTTTGAAATAAAGGATACTAATATAATAGAAAATCCCCTAGATGCGTTTTTAACTTTAAAAATACAAATGAGTATTTTTGATAATTTTTCTTATATTAAAAATATGTATATAAAATTAAATACTGCCTTGGGCTCAAGTGTAGTGTTGAGAGATATTTAGTAAGGAGAAACTTAATTTTCTGGTCGTCACTCTAGACTTGGGGATGATAGTATAGAATATAAAATGCAAAAAAAATAAATAAAAAATGAATATTACCATAGTTATTTTTATTATATAAATTATAATTTTACATAAAATTTTATAATCAAACTTACTATATTTAAATATTTATAAATGAACTATGCAATTACATTATAAGCAAAAAATAAAACAAATTTCTTTCAATTTTTTTTAAATAAAAATTATCCTAAAAAGAGGCTAAAGCTACTTTAAAAAAAATATTAGCAGTGGTGCGTTACTTTTTTTGATGGGTAGCGCTAGCGGTTGCGCGCTACTTTTAAAAGTAGGTTGTAACAACTATGTAAAAAAACAATATAATATAACGGCGTCATTAACTTTCAGTTATTGTAATTCTAAGGTTTGGCAAACTACTCAGTAGGAGTTTTGAACAAATTTTGCCCAAAATTCCAAATTTGTAAGTAAATCTTTTAAATTTTGTAAATTTTTTATAAAAATTTTCTTAAATTTTTTATCCTAAAAATTCAGGGCCCTTTGGTTTATTCTCATCGGATCTAAAATACCGATAATAAATAAAATCTTGGGGAAAAAAAATTTATATCCTTGGCTTCTAACCCACGATATTTGCTATCAAAATTATAAGATGTCATGAATATTTTTTAAATATTGTATAGATATTCGGTAGGAAAGGTAAAACAAAATAAATCCATCAAATGTTTATAGATTATATTGAAAAAATAAATATATAATTATAAAAATGAAAAGATTGTAATAATAAAAAATTATTTACAAATAAATTAAATATACGATTATTTAACAGATAAGTTAATTAGATATCGAATTTTTAGAAATTTCTATAGAGAATAATATTTATAAAAGAAATAATGAGAACAATTTTATAGGAAAAAAAACAAGAAAACAATCAGCGTAGATCCATATATAAAAATCTTTTTAAAAATAAAGCACAAGAAACTAAATGTCCTCACTGAATTGTCGTCTTAATATACGTGAAAAATTATTTAGCAATGAGTAATGCATTGCAAAGAAATTATGAATAATATAATCTTTAACAATTGGGGTTCAGATTGCTCCACAAGGTTCCTTTTTTAAAATGTAGTCGGCTAAATTTAGATTAGAGGTCTGCGGGAAAATTTTTAATCTCAACCTTGTCCCAGTAGCCCCTACAACAAAAGGGAGGGGAAGGGGAGGCACGAAATTAATATTTTTCAAAATTTGAAAGAGATACTTTTTTTTAAATATTGTTAGAGGTCTGCATTGAGCGGGGTTTCAGCCGACCTGCCCATCTAAAAAAATTTTCGAGAATGGGCAGGCGGGTGGGCGGATTAAAAAAATTGAAGCTATGGGCGGGCTGGGCGAGCGGGTTAAGAAATTTAAACAATGGGCGGGCGGGTTAAGGAAATTTAGAATTTTTGTTCAAAAACAAACTAAAAAAAATAATTGTTTAAATGATCTATAACAATATTTCTTTTTTTATTGTATGAATCGTTTTTTTTAAGTGAAGAACATATACTTAACTATATTATGTAATACACACAACAATAAAACTTTTTTCTTATTCTTAGAATAAATAAACATTTTTGTCTATTAAAAATTTCCTTTTATGGGAATATAATAAAAATTTTCTAGTGCCTTTTCCGAACGCGGTATTAGCATTGCTGGAAGATTTTTAGAACAAAGAAGAACGTGTTTGAATCCAGAAAATGTCGATTCATTATTATTTTTGCATTATAATTACATAAAATATTAATTTTACATTTATATTTTTTTCATAAATATTCAATTTGATCAAATAAATTGTCCATAATTTACATTGATTATTTTTATACTTATATTAATTTCATAAATTATAAAATTTTTGTAGAGGTGTAATTCTGAAATATTTTTATTAGATATTTAAAAAATGAAAGAATGACCATAATTAAATTTTATATAAGCGGGCTTGGGTTAAAAATTTTTTATAAATAATGGGTGGGCGGGTAAAAATTTTTAGACTAATGGGCGGACGGGCAAGGAGTTTTAGATAAATGGGTGGGCTGGGTGGGCAGGTTATTTTTAATTGAATGGGCGGGTTTTTCTCTATATTGTACCACCATGATAATGGGGAGTGGGTGGTACTTAAAAATTTTTTTTAATTTTAATTTATTGTGAAGGATATGAGTTAAATGTCAATTTGGTGCAGGGTATTCTCTATCATGTCTGCCATAAATTATTTTCATGGACTGGACATTGCAGATCTCTAATTTAAATTGAGTTTAGAAACCAAATGAAGTTATTTTGTCACTTAGCTTAGGCTTAGCCAAAAAAATCGGTTAAGGCTTAGTTTTAGCCAAAATAAATGTGCTTAAATAGGCTTAGGCTTATTCTTAGCCAAGAAAAATGCACTTAGCCTTAGCTAAAAAAATCGACCAGGCTAAATCGATTACCCACCTATACATCTATCCAAGCCAAAAATTTTAACCATAGTTTCACTATCAACCAGGGTTTTACAAAAATCTTCAAATAAAAATTTGAAGATTTTTTTCGCCCAAAATTTTGAGGAAAAAATCTTTGAAGATCAATTTTTTGCGAAGATTTTTTCGCTAAAAAAAATTTTGAGCTTGCTCAAAGAAGATTTTTGAGTAAAATAAAAAATATTTTTTGTAAAAAAATCTTCTATAATTTTGAGAAAATATTTTGAGAATTTTATAATAAAATAAAATCTTTTGTAAGGAAATCTTTATTAAAATATTTTTGAAATTTTGATCTTAAAATTTTTTGGTAAATTCTTTGAAAATAAAATTTTTGATATATATTTTTTTTTATTTTATTATGTTAATGAAAATATTTTTTTTGAATAGGTTGTAAATGTGAGAATTGGTCATAATACGACTGCATTTTTTTTAATATTTGGAATAAGTAATAATGATTATTTTAAAAATGTAATGTCATAATTTTAATGTTTTATATTTAATGTAAACTATAAAAGTGACAATTGTCATAATACTCATCTCAGAACCTTTAAAAATAATTATAATTAAAAAAGGCTAGTTGAGCATGTTTTGAGATGGTTTCAGTGATTGTAAAGCATATAAAGGTGACAATTGTCATAATATTTATTTCACATATGTTTTAATTGGAAATAGAGAAAAATGATTATTTCAAACATGAATTAATATAATGTGTAAACTATAAAAGTGACAATTGTCATAATATTCATAACAGAACCTATAAAAATAATTTTATTTTTAGGTATTAAATAGGCGAGAAAAAATTTTTTGAGCATGTTTCGAGATGGTTTTAATGATTGTAAAAATTGTCACAATGTTATTTTTGAACTTTTTTAAAGCAAGTAGATAAAAATTAATTAAATATAAAATTAAATGTGGATGTACCATAGAGCAGTGACAATTGTCATAATCGTTATTTTTGAACTTTTTTGAATTTTTTTGAAGCAACAGAGTAAAATAATAAATTGTAAACATGTTAAATTGAAATTTAAATGTGGATGTACCATAGAAAAGTGACAATTGTCATAATCGTTATTTTTAATCTTTTTTGAATTTTTTTGAAGCAAAAGGGTAAAATTATATATTGTAAACATGTTAAATAAAAATTTCAGTGAAGATGTACCATAGAAATGTGACAATTATCATAATTGTTATCTTTGAACTTTTTTTATAAGCAAATAGGTAAAAATATATATTGTAAACCTGTTAAATTAAAATTTCAGTGAATATGTACCATAGAAAAGTGACAATTGTCATAATCGTTATTTTTAATCTTTTTTGATTTTTTTTGAAGAAACTATATATTGTAAACTTATTAAATTAAAATTTCACTGAAGATCTACCATAGAAAAGTAAAATTGTCTTAATCGTCATTTTTAATCTTTTTTAATTTTTTTTGAACTTACAGGGTAAAATAATAAATTGTAAACTTGTTAAATTTAAATGTGGATGTACCATAGATAAGTGACAATTGTCATAATGGCCATTTTTAATCTTTTTGGAATTTTTTTGAAGCAAAAGGGTAAAATAATAAATTATAAACATGTAAAATTAAAATTTAAATGAGGATGTACTATAGAAATGTGACAATTGTCATAAACGTTTATTTTAATCTTTTTTGAATTTTTTTTAAGCAAAAGGGTAAAATTATATATTGTAAACATGTTAAATTAAAATTTCAGTGGAGATCTACCATAGAAAAGTGACAATTGTCATAATCGTTATTTTTAATCTTTTTTGAATTATTTTGAAGCAAAAATATAAAATTATATATTGTAAACATGTTAAATTAAAATTTAAATGAGGATGTACCATAGAAAAATGACAATTGTCATAATCATTATGATCATTTTAGAATTTATTTGCTGAAACTAGCAGGTTTTTAGCTGAAGCCCGTCCCTGGGCGGCCTAGCTTAATAATTTTAAAAAGTGCGAGCGAATCGGTTACAAAATTTTAACAATTAGCGGGCTAAAAAATTTTAACTTTAGTTTATTATTTAAAATCTATTAGGTAAACATTAAAAAGAATCTATGAATATAATTCCCAGGAAATAAAATTCCCATTTTTTAAGATATTAAAAATTACAAAATTAGTAAAATAGTCACTATCTCCAGGTCTCTTAAATCTTTCTACATCTACATGTTGGTACCAATTAACATTATATTGTTTATTATATATAATCTTTTAGATTTTTCCTCACAGGAAGAACCATCTTATTCTCAAAATATTTCAAATTCAGTTTTATTTGGTATAACAAATAATTCTTAACCCAATCAAATAAATTTTTCTACAATAAACTCTGATACCTATCATAAACCACAAAAGAAATATAGCAATTGGAGTCAGGAAAAAATATAAATAGCCATAAACAGAATAAGAGGCCATCCGTCAAACTCCCTCCTTCAAGGGGGAAAACGTATCGGTTTTGGGTACCATTACAGCAATGAAAATTAAAAAAAAATTTGAATTCAATTTTATAAAAAAAAATTATATAATACTTTTTTTCAATCTGGTGCCGCCTCGCTGGCACCAGCAAATTTCATTTTTTTGAGATTTTTATTTTCTTTAATTCATAAGGCAAAACATTAAATAAAAATAAATAAAGGAGGGAGAGAGAGAGACAATGGGAAAAACGAAAAGAAAAGAAAATGCATTTTTTATATCTTCATTTAACATTTGATTTTTTATAAATATAAATAAAAAAAACATTAAATAAATGTATCCCATCCAAATTTATAAATGGGGGTTTTATTTGGCCTCAATAAAACAATTATTTTATTCATTTTTTTTATTTTATATAACATTAATTCCTGATTTTTTATTTCAAAATATAATAAACAAGTGAAAATAAAAATAAAAGGAAAAAACAAGAAAGTTAAAATTAAAAATTACAAAATTTTTTTTTTATATATAATGCAAAATAAAAAAAATCTCAAAGATATTACTAAAGGAGCATTTTTTAATCGATTCTTCTGATATTATCCTATTAGGTACATCAGTCCTTTTCCCATTATACAAATTCACAATGAAATTACAAAAAAGTAATATTGTAATAGGTGATTTTTTTGCTTCATGGCTAGAATGCAAAATGGAGCTGGAGGAAATGGATAATAATTTATCTAAAAGTATGTTGGAATGTTTAAACATTATAGAAAGCTATCTTTTTCAAAATGACGCATTTCGTAGTGCGATATATATGGATCCTAGATTCCATTATGAAAATGGAAAATATCCTTTGGAAGAAGATAAAATATTGGCCAGGGTAAATTAATAAATTTATAATATACATCTTTTTATTTTAGGAACATATATTTGCAACTTGGAAACAATTGCAAGCTATTGACCCTCATGAAGAAAATACAACTCTAGTTATGCCTTCCACTAGTGATTATAAAAAAACAAAACTTGACCTTTACATTGAGCGTGATTGCAAGAAGGGACCTATATTTTATGAATTATGTAATAGCGATATCAAGCTAAAAATAAAATCGTTATTATACAACAAAAGATTGCCATCCTCACAAGATATTTTGCAATATTGGGTTTCAAGAAAACACCAAGATGCAGAATTATTTAAATTATCTCAAATAATTCTTGCTGCTCCTTGCACCCAGGTCTCAGTTGAGAGAGCATTTAGTGCATTGGCACTAACTGTAACCTCTCTAAGGACAAGATTAGACAAAGATATACTTGATGATATTTTAATTATAAAGCTTAATCGTACATTGTTAAATAATTATTTATATAACCTATTTCATTATAAAGTTATTGTTTACATTGAAATTTTAATAAATAAAAATTCATATATATAACTGATTTAGATTTTTTGTATGAATAGTATAATCAGAGGGGGGCGTATTTTACTAGATATATCCAAATAGTAGTTTCTAAGATCTAAAATTGATTTAAAAGATTAAAGAAAAAATATTTTTAAATTTGTTGATCCCAAAAATATCATGTTTATATTGATGCATCTTTCTAGTTCAACTCCGTTCCGGTTGGCTCTAAAAATTTAACATATATGATACTATTATCATCTGCCCAGAGGTTTAAGTGTTTCCCAACAAGATCATATTAACCTAATTTAAAAATAATGGATATGACTATGAGTAATGTGATAATTTCAAAATATATATATTAAAATAATTTTAAAAGGGAGTTGAGAATTAGATATGTCACTTATCTATGGTACATATTCACTGAAATTTTAATTTAACATGTGTACAATTTATTATTTTACCCTTTAAGTTCAAAAAAATTAAATAAAAAATTAAAAATGATAATTGTCACTTTTCTATGGTAGATCTCCACTGAAATTTTAATTTAACATGTTTACAATATATAATTTTACCCTTTTGCTTAAAAAAAATTCAAAAAAGATTAAAATAAACGTTTATGACAATTGTCACATTTCTATAGTACATCCACATTTAAATTTAACAAGTTTACAATTTATTATTTTACCATGTAAGTTCAAAAAAATTTAAAAGGGATTAAAAATGACAATTAAGACAATTTTCACTTTTCTATGGTAGATCTTCAGTGAAATTTTAATTTAATAAGTTTACAATATATAGTTTCTTCAAAAAAAATCAAAAAAGATTAAAAATAACGATTATGACAATTGTCACTTTTCTATGGTACATATTCACTGAAATTTTAATTTAACAGGTTTACAATATATATTTTTACCTATTTGCTTTAAAAAAATTCAAAAAAGTTCAAAAATAACAATTATGATAATTGTCACATTTCTATGGTACATCTTCACTGAAATTTTTATTTAACATGTTTACAATATATAATTTTACCCTTTTGCTTCAAAAAAAATCAAAAAAGATTAAAAATAACGATTATGACAATTGTCACTTTTCTATGGTACATCCACATTTAAATTTCAATTTAACATGTTTACAATTTATTATTTTACTCTGTTGCTTCAAAAAAATTCAAAAAAGTTCAAAAATAACGATTATGACAATTGTCACTGCTCTATGGTACATCCACATTTAATTTTATATTTAATAAATTTTTATCTACTTGCTTTAAAAAAGTTCAAAAATAACGATTGTGACAATTTTTACAATCATTAAAACCATCTCGAAACATGCTCAAAAAATTTTTTCTCGCCTATTTAATACCTAAAAATAAAATTATTTTTATAGGTTCTGTTATGAATATTATGACAATTGTCACTTTTATAGTTTACACATTATATTAATTCATGTTGAAATAATCATTTTTCTCTATTTCCAATTAAAACATATGTGAAATAAGTATTATGACAATTGTCACCTTTATATGCTTTACAATCACTGAAACCATCTCAAAACATGCTCAACTAGCCTTTTTTAATTATAATTATTTTTAAAGGTTCTGAGATGAGTATTATGACAATTGTCACTTTTATAGTTTACATTAAATATAAAACATTAAAATTATGACATTACATTTTTAAAATAATCATTATTACTTATTCCAAATATTAAAAAAAATGCAGTCGGTATTATGACCAATTCTCACATTCACAACCTATTCAAAAAAAATATTTTCATTAACATAATAAAATAAAAAAAAATATATATCAAAAATTTTATTTTTAAAGAATTTACCAAAAAATTTTAAGATCAAAATTTCAAAAATATTTTAATAAAGATTTCCTTACAAAAGATTTTATTTTATTATAAAATTCTCAAAATATTTTCTCAAAATTATAGAAGATTTTTTTACAAAAAATATTTTTTATTTTGCTCAAAAATCTTCTTTGAGCAAGCTCAAAATTTTTTTTAGCGAAAAAATCTTCGCATTTTTTGATCTTCAAAAGAGCAACGATCTGTGAAGATTTTTGAATTTTGAGCAAATGTTAAACCCTGCTATCAACACCGATAGGAAGTACCTACGAGCTTTTCCCATATGAAAGTTTGCATACCGAAAAATTCATTCACATAAGTAAGCATTCTTTTAGCAGGACTGCTGAACTAATATATGCCCTGGGCCACCAAAAGTTTTTGCATGACCCTAAACAGTAACACTATTGTCTGCATTTTTTAAAAAAAAATACAATGTTACTTTGTGATATGCGCAATATTAAATCTTCTAAATTTTATGTTTTATAAATCAAACTTTTCTGCTATAGATTTCCACTTTGAAAAATATTTGGTGTTCAAATTAGATAATGAGGAAGACATAGAGAGTTTATTAAATAATTGTTTGATAAAATTTTGTTCATGAATTATCACTGGCACTTGATATATATTTGATATGTCTGGAAGAGCAAACACCTTATATACAAAATAAATTAACTCATTAAATATCAATATAAAAATTACTTGATCTGAGCTAACATGGCAAAAATGTGCAATTTTGTCAATAACTGAGGGCATTAATTTATCAATGCACCTTGCCACAATCTAATAATAAAAGTTTTATAAAATCATATTTATTAAATAATTTTTACAAAATCTGGAGTCAATCCTAAACCTCTTAGATCTCTTATACTTGCTTGTGTGGGTTTTGTTTTTTGTTCACCACTAGATAACTTTATTAGATTAAATTATATATAAAAATAAGTAATTTAAATATACTTGAGGTACAAGACTAACATGAACAACACAAAAATTATCTTTTCCAACTTTAAATTGAAATTGTCTAAAAGCTTCAACAAATGGCATGCTTTCAATATCACCAATAGTGCCTCCTAACTAATAATTATATTTTTTGCAAATTATAAATTATAATTTACCTCTATAATGCAAATTTCAGGCTCAGTTTCACTATCATCTACAGGAATTTTTGATACTTTTTCAATCCACATTTGTATTGCATTTGTTATGTGAGGAACAACTATTCAATATTTAATTTATTTCTTTTTAAATAAAAAACCTTGCACTGTTTTGCCTAAATAATTTCCTTTACGCTCATTTGTTATAACATCCAGATATATCTTACCTGTAGTTATATTATTATCACTAGTTAATGTTATATCCAAAAATCTCTCATAATTTCCCAAGTCTAAATCGACCTCTCCTCCATCATTTAATACAAATACCTCTCCTATATATAAACTATTTCAAAAAATTTTAAAATGTAAATAACCATGCTCATATGGTGAGAATGTACCAGCATCAATATTTATATAAGGATCTATTTTGATAGATGTTATTTTTATACCATAGCATCTTAATAGAGTTCCAATACTACTAGCTACAACTCCCTTTCCTATCCCACTAATAACACCTCCAGTAACCAATATATATTTCATAAGATATGATATTTCCAAAATTTCCTAAGTTTTACGAAAACTTATTTCGATTTGAGATCTTAAAAAGAATGAATGCACGCCAAATTATTATGAAATTGGGAAAAAATATTTAATGACATTAATCGTCTAGTCCTATTCCGAGTATAATATTGTATAAATAATATATATATATATCTATAATTATTTATAAAATTATATATTCAATATGATAAATTATTAATTTTTGAAATTCGATGTTATATGACATATTATATATAATATGAAATCATTCAATATTTTAAATGTTAGGAAAGTTTATTTAGGTTAAAAAAATTATTAAGACAGATATGGGAATAAAAAAATCTGTTCTTATTATAATAATAATCCAATAATATATAAATATTGAAAATTCACATAATATTTTATTGTATAATATATTTCTACAACATCATATATCCATAGATAAAACATCCATAAACACAATTTGACGGAAACAATAATAATTATATGGATAATTCTAAAAACTAAATGAGGATTAGGTAACTAACTTTCACCCGATATTGTTTCATACAATCAATGAAATGTGAATAGCATTTAGATAAAATACCCAATGATATATAATATGTCATTGAAAATATCTTACAATGGCGCCTGCTACAGCCGGTGATATTGATTGCATCTGAGTTCAATATATGTTTACTTTTAATAAATTATCAATCTAGGTTGATATTAAAGTCTTTGGATAAGAATGAAAAGGAATTATATCGAAATTTAATTAATCATTTTCGTAGTTCAAATAAAACCCCCAAAAGGTTTAAGGATAATTTCTCTGTTCTATAAAGCCCTGTATTATTTTACATGTGTGCCAGTAATACTTTCTAGCTTAAGTATGCTTTGCCAGTGAAAAGGGTGATTCAATTTTAATGCATTTATATAATGATTTGCAGGATTGTAAATATGAGCAATATCAAAATTCTCATCCTATCATCATGTATATAGTAGTATACTGACTGCAGGGATACATGGTATTTCCCAATCTAATTATTGGCTTTAAGCACCTGAGTGCTGATATAATTTCCTAATTTTATAATAAATTCGGAATTTTTTGGATATCATTAACATATATTAAATTATAGAAAACCAGGGCTTTCAAAACTGCCAATTTTTGCTAGATTTAGGTTCCCGATTAAAATCGTGAACATGGCTCGATTCAGGTGAATGAACATAAGTCAAACCGCTACAATATTTTATAATTTATTTAATTTTAAAAACTAAATAAAAACTTTTTTAAAGAGCAAATAATATTTTATTCAAACCTTACTAAAGCAAAATACATTATATCATAATTATTCATATAAGTAATAAATAAATATTAAAAAACAGCATATTTATATCTATATTAAAATTACATTTAAAAAAATTAAAATACGTCTAAAAAAACATAAGTAAACAATTTTTAAAAAAAGATTTAAAAAAAAATAGGGGGGTGGGGGCAAAAAAGGAATCTCATTGAGATAAGGAAAAATTCAACGTTTTGAAAAGGGATTCTATATGAAAATGACCTAAGAAAAATATATTAGCAAGCTCGATGGCGTTGTAGCAAATTTTCCTATAGCACATTTCTAAACATTCTTTATGTAAAATCTTTCTCATGCTTATTCTCTTTTTATGAAATTTTTTTTTAGGGAGATTTCATTGTTGTAATTTACATTTTTTAATATTTTATTTTATAAAGTGATTTATTTCAACAAATGTATTAATTTCGAAATAGTGATTCGATTAAATTTATTACATTAAAAAGAGTATCATAGTAAATTATTTAAGGAATATCGTCATCAGCAGCGATATCCTAAATTTAGAATTAAATATTCCTCGTTATCCGATATATTAAGAGTCTTCTTGTCTTCATTTGTATTTTTACAAAAACTATGACGATCAGTACAAAAGACATTTTTTAAATAAAACTAAAAGGCAATCTATATAACCCAAGACATGTGGTGGTCGAACCACATATTTAGGTTGGTTCTATTTTGCATAAATCCCATTAAAACAAGGGGAGAAAAGTCTTTTATAAATGAAATTCTTAAAAAAGATCAGACTTAATTAAATGCGCATATTTTTTCTCTTCTGCCCTTTAGCATTGTTAATAAAAACTTTCTACGACTTTTTTTATCATGGAAATAAAACTATTGAATATCAATTGTAAAAGCAGTAAAAGATGTAACAGAAATTTCATTTTAGTATTATTAATAAGCGTATTTGATAACATTGGAATCATGCAAAAAATCGTTATTAGTTTTAAAATATAAATCAAAAGCTTTATATAAATTTATATTTTCACATATTGGATCCCAACATTTGATATCCACATCATTAATTTATGATTATCTTCATAATTTAATTTCTAGGAATTTATTAATGTATTTCTTATTTATTGACAAGGAACTCGAAAAAAATTTTGGAACGATAACATACGGTGGTTGTAAAACATTCCAAAAAATTAAAGCAAATTTATTTAGGTGCATAAATTGAGTGTTTCAAGCACAAATAATGCATTTCAACGGTATCGTTTTGTTAAATTATCGCTTGGCGTTAGAAACTTTTAATAAAATGCAAATTGGTTTACTTTTTTCATTAGTCATAAAAACTATAACTAATTCCTAATTACAGCTACTTATAAATAATAATTACATATTTACAATTCCTTTCATAGTAAAAAATCATAAAAAGTAAAGAAACTTTATGTTGAATTGTATTATTTCCACTATTATCATTTGATAGATAATTATATTACATATTTCATTGATTATCATTTTATTATATGATATATTACATTTTTATTTTTCAAAAGCTCAATTACATTTTTTTATCTCTTTATATATCTTTTTTTTAAAAACAATAAAAAATAACTAATACAAATTGATCTATCAAAAAAAATGTTAATATAAAATTTTGACCGATTAAATTTAAATACAAATTGATATAATATAAAATAAACCAATTGCCCAAATAAATAATAAAATAACATCGATCAACATATTCAACATTCCACCCTCCAAAGAAATTCGGCTTATGATTTCCTTGGATAGGTTGAGTGGTAACGTCATTAACATTCATGATCACCACGCAATACGCCACCCATGTTCATGGTTCAGTTTTCTTTTCAAACCGAACGATGGCTTGGCAAAGTAAAGACAACCCCTAGCTAATTTCCAAACCGGGTCGCTTGTGCATGGCATCGGACATCTAGATTCCTTTCGAGCAAGGTTTATTTCATCGTGCTTCAGCCAGCAATCTAATTTCTGAGTCGTTGCATCGATCTTGGCGCACGGAATTCTCCTTGATGGTATGTGACCATCTTGGGTTTGTAGGAGTAAGTTGATTCGAGGTCTTTTTTTGTTGTCGAGATTATCTTCTCGAGATAATTCTCTACATTACCCACTTAGAACGTTTTTAAAATGTTGTTGAAGGTGTTGAGCCATATACGTCCTAGCAGGGGGATCTTATCACAATCCACTACAATGGCTTCCATGTGAGTTTCCTTCATACTTAACGTTCACATTGGCAAGACCTAATATCTTGATAGCGCTGCCGTCATAACCAGTGAGTCTCATGTCCGTCTTACGTATTGCGGTTATGCCTACAGTGTCAGCTTCGGAAATATACTCTACCTGGTACCGGTGTCAACTTGCATCAACGTGGGTATGTTGTTGATGCTCACTGTCACGTTGTACGCGTCATATGTGTTATCCTTGACCCCCATATGGACACTTCCAAATTCTGCAGATTATATTCTTTAAGGTCTGTGTTTGAGTCGTCGTCATCATCGATTACTTCGATGTTCATAGCATGGTTCGTATTCAATTGACAATCACGATCTTTGTAATCAGAAGATCTATTGTAAGTATTATTGTCATTTTTGTACTGGTTGGGCCTCGACGAATATTTGGGAAAACCATTAATATTTTGAGGGTTGTGTCTGTGCTGATCACGACGGGGATAGTTGGTTCGGTTATCACCTCTATAGCAGTCATCCCGTTGATCAGGGCTTTGATGATGGTCACAATGATAGTCGTGGCGATTGCCATGGACGTTGTACCCACTATTGATGTATCGATCGTCGTGGTAGTTATCGTTGCGATTATCCAAACGGTTACGGTTATAGTGACAATTATCGTAACTTTGATCAAAACGATTGTCGTGGAAGTTGCTGTGCCGTCCGTTGAATAATTTATCGCGGTCGTTGTCGTAACGTATATCGTAACGTTCATGAAATAGTTTGTCACGGCAATAGTCGCAGCATAAATCATAACGTAATCACATTCTTTATTGAGTCGTGCTATACGCGTGACCCAAGCCGAGAATGTCTCATCCTTGCCTTGAGTTGCAGTATAAAATAATGATAGTTTAGCGTTCTCGGTCTTCGATGGATGTTGTAACTTGAATTTGCCAAGCAGGGCGATTGCGTCCTGGAAGTCTTCCTCACTGCAAATTGCCCCAATATTATTGAATTCGTCATCAGGAAGACTTTGGAGAAATAAAACGGTCTCTCCGTTGGAGATCTTGCTGGTGTTGAAGAAATTCTGCAATTTCCCTATGTAGGCGCTGCCATCGCTACTAAATTTGGGGAAATCCAGCTTGACAAATTCAGTCATATATGTGGAAATGTTCAAAGCATCCATCGTAAGAGGATTATAATCGATAAAGGCGTGAAATAGAATAAATGTACATTGCAAAATCAAGATCAAGTTTTGAGATAATACTTACGCAGAGTTCAGACGTAGATTGGCCTCCATGTTGGAATTGTATTATTTCTACTTTGATAGATAATTATATTACATATTTCATTGATTATCATTTTATTTTAAATCATAATTTAAATTTTATTATATGATATATTGCATTTTTATTTTTCAAAAGCTCAATTACATTTTTTTATCTCTTTATATATCTTTTTTTTAAACAATAATAAAAAAGAATAACTAATACAAATTGATCTATCAAAATAAAATGCTAATATAAAATTTTGACCGATTAAATTTAAATACAAATTGATATAATATAAAATAAATCAATTGCCAAAAT